TACATTTCAAGTAAAGTCTAGCATGAATCATTACCTTTTTACGTACATCCTTTTATTTGCTTACCGAGAAACCCCACTCTCGGCGCGAGTCATAACAATAAGTGATTTTGTGGCAATAGATGGTTCCCGGGGCAGAAATTGCCTAATATGGAAACAAGTTGTGTTAGCTCAATACGCCTACTTCATACGGATCGCGACATTTCTTAAGTTTTCTCAAGACGAGGTCTCGATCACTCAACTGTAGTAAAAAGAGAGTTGTTAGTTATCAGAGACTGGTCCATAACCCAAAGCCTATGGCCCAGAGTTTGTCAGCCGACCAGTAACCGAACCCAGAAAAATAAAATTTGTTTGTGTCGTATGATCTGTCAAAATCATGCGATTTTTTATTATTTTTACCTAGTCTTGAACTGCAAAATTACAGCAGTTGTCCGATTCCCACGTCTATGTTATTATTGTGGTCGAATACGTCATACGGGCTGTCTTCCTGTCACAAAATAGTTTATTACATCACGGATCCGCGTGAGTGATTCCCGTGTAAACACGTTTGAAGCTAAATGAAACACCGTTGCACTTGAATTCACACATTTCCAACAGACTGGAACGTATTTTATTTTTGAATTTCCATTCTAATTGATAACTTCCCAGGCTTGACTCAATTCACGGAAAAGGTGTTTTCAACATTTACATCGCTTCCATAAAAGTTTGTATTCGACTTGATATTTTACTGGGTATAATCTAGGACCAAATCAGCACCCCTGCTGTACACCACGAATCAGCGTAGTTCGGGCTATCAAATTTTCGGAACAAATCCGCTTGTTTGTTCTTAAATGTTTTGATTTGGACACATCTAAAACGTATAAAGTTCAAAACATAAACAAGGAAATTGGTCCAGATGGCTGAATGTCAAACAACAAAAGAAGTTATACAAGCTCTAACAAAGCGAGGTCATGCAAATTTAGATGCTGGCTACACCATTGGCCTTTGTGTCGGTCGTTTTTCTACCAGTATTTTGATTTCGGAAACCGTTCAATATACAATAAATGTGTCCCCAAAATATCTATAATTCATTCGGAGTAATAGATTGTTAAAAATAGTTTTACTGCGACAACCCATGTAATAAATATTTGGAATTACAGCAGAAAACCAGTGATTTAATTCACGGCACTAGTATCACAGGCAGGTCAAACATCCCCAAAATTACCGTATATGCAATATTATAAACTAGCGATTTAAACTATTATTAAAGCCATGCATCGTATGTATTGATTCTATAAATAATATCGAATTTACTATGAGTTGGTCAATTCTGTAATTGCACAGCTTATGTATGGGTTATAGATTAGGCCTCGTTGCTGTGGAAGTTATACATGAAGACAACCATCTTTAGTTGTTTATTCGAAAACTTTTATTGATTTTGATGTCGTCCAACGGCTATGACGTCATCACCCACGTATTCTCTCTAAACTAACGTGGGATTATAATAAAACGTGATTGGTCGAAGCAAAAGATTGATGTTTACGACAAACACAAAGACCGGCGGACGACAGCATTGTCCGCTTTCGTGGATTAATTCAATAATGATATTAGTCATCGACGCATCGTCTGTTCTGTGGTAGCGACGATTTATACAAAGTTTCAATGATACATAATAGCCGATAGACTTTTATAGTCCTATAAATTTTGTCAAAATTCTCTGCGTGTCCAGTATTCGAATCTTGCTTATGGCTAACCTATCAAAAAAATAAAGGTTTTGCATATGTAAGAACCAGGTGGAAAAATATATTTCTGCTTACTTCTAATGAGGCTTCAAAATATTGCTCATTTCAATAGTAGACATCGATGAATCACTGTCGCCATTTTAATGTCTCAATAAGAGATTTGATAAAAACTATTCTTCGTTAGCAGTTCATATTTATGTTACAGTGGTTTCTCGGAATAATGTTTCGGATCTAAAGTTTACTGATGCGGTGTTTTGTCTTGCGCTTTAAGTGCTCTTTCCTGTCCTAGACGTTTCCCATTCACCCACATTTGACTTACTCGTCACCCCGTCTTAATCCAGATGGAATTTGTATTGTCAAACACGATGGGAAACTATTCCAGTGACGTCATCACCTTATACCCCTCAATTTACGAAACAAATTCTTTTCTCAATTTTCTGATTGATCGATTTTGTAGGTAAATCTAGTCGAGTGAGATCAATTTTTCGAACAGTTTTTGTGCGCACACGGTCGAACCTAAACATTTTTATTTTTCCATAATCGACAAAATTATTTTGTTGAAACAATACACACAAATCTAGTGAACGTAATTCAAAAAATATTCGTTTGCTGATAACGAACTATGGCCAAACATTGTGGGCAAAACACATATACCAACTCCCGCTTTTGCGGTCAACCTACCGGAAACATGAACTACAATTTACCTCCGAGCTGCCAATGGATTTCGCTTGAGAGTTATAGCTTTCGAAGATTAAGAAGTTATAATTTGGTATAAATTGTATGGAATTTCGTAATTTTTTTCATTTTTCAAACGAAATAAATATATTGTAAGAAAGAATCTTATTGTAAATAACGAACAAGATAGCCGATAATCACGCTGATAGCCGTTTTGAAATTTTCAGACAACGTCCATTTGAAGCATATGTAATTGATACATTACGTAGTTCGTTCATCATATATCATATTTTTTTATATTCCCATGTTCAGAATACAGAAACTGACGTACTACGATAATTCTTTAGGGACTACGACGCCATTTCGAATACATCCGATTCTAATTAATAAAGCAATATATTATGATTGTATTACACGTCTCATTATGACGAATAATCGATTTATCATTGGACCAATCATGAATAGTCTTTTTCTCAAGCAATCAACTTGCGTCTATTGTTACACAAATATAGTTAACTGAGCCCCATGGGATGGGTGCGATGTTAGAGCATAATTGCACATTCATTGCGGTTAAGAAATGAACTTTTTAACCATTGAGGTTTTTGTGGTTATGACGTTTGACTTACTAATTGTCATGTGGTAATTGTGGCGTTTTTTAAGTCGATTTTTGTTTTTTATTGTTTGAAATTACTTTGGTACATCGCTATGCCTAACGCAGTGTTCTTCATATCTCTTTCCAACTGTCGCTCCGTTGTTAAATTGCATTACCCCTGACAAATCAATTTGAGTTCCGTTACACTAGAAACACGAATTCCCAGAAGTTGTGCGAATATCTAATTATAACGAACGGTCGTGAACATGGCGACAAAACGTCTTATTTTAGTCAGAGGGTCGCCCTATTGTGAATAACTGCCAAAAAATTGTACTCTGGATTTCTGATTACTTGCTTGTCCCGTACAAATATGTTGAAATTATCGTAGTTTCATGCATGGTAAATAGGCTAAATTTCAGTCTATTGAATAATGTATGGGCGTCGTTACCCAGCATGTCAAGGCGCCATTCCACACTTTTAGAAAATATCGTAAAAATAACAGTATTTTCGCGGTACTCATTTCATTTCACAGACTTGTGCATATTTATTCACACATGGACAGATCCGCTAGTCACAAGTTTTACTAAATACACTTATATTTCTAAAAGTAAACTTCCTGTTAGTTTTTAATAGTATACTAAGGATGCCCAGCGGATGCCCTTGGTTACGCTTATTTTTGCCTTTAAATTTGGCACCCTGGGACGCAAATCATATTAACAACACTTTGGCTCCATTTGTGCCGTTTTCTTCCCTCAGGATTCTTTTGATTGAAGGCACTTTGAAAGTTTCGACATAAGGAACACGAAAAGCGTTAAAGTTCTTGACCTAGGTTGACTGGGCAACCATTCAATCATGTAAACGGTTACCGTCATTTGTAATGAACAACGTCATTTGTCTCATGATACAACTTGGTCTGCAGCCCAGTGGGAGATTTGAAATTTGTTTAACCTGTAGATCACAATCTTCATTCACTTGTTATATATATACATATAGGGTGCTCATAAAGTCTTGAAATTCTTTAAAATTGCAGAGAGATTTCATCGATACCATATATTGTTTTGGCACTCACAGATGTATTAAATGAATTAAAAATACTTAAACAGTTACTGATTTGAAAACAACAAACCTGGCTATAATATATTGAGAACTGACTTCATAACAAAATTGAGATTGTAAAGGGACTTATGTATGTATGGTCATGAGGATAATTTATGGTTGTTATTGTTGGTTGTATACATTACTTATTGAGGGTTTCACGGCAAAAAAAAAAAATGTCAAAATTTCACAAAATTTTACTCGAAAATATTACAAAGAAATTTGGTTTGTTGACCTTCTGAAGTATGTGCACCAAGATGGCGCACAACCTGAACGCAGGTTGTGTACCAGGTTAGGGTTCAGGTTATGCGACATCTTGGTGTGCATACTTCAGGAGTACCAATTGCTGTTTGAAGCAATATTCAACAAAGTTTTTGATTATGAAAGTAATTGAAGTCTAAAAATTCCTAAATATTTTTCATATTCTCAAAACAGCTTTCTTTAAGTTTTTTTTATTTTGGGTGAAAGACCTGAAATTCATCAAATAAAACTGAAACCTTGAAGATAAATAGATGATTGAAAAAAAATTTGGCAGACAAAAATTAACCATAATAAGTAATCTACAATCTTTTAGTCTTTTAGTTCATTACCTTTCCGAATATATTCATCCTTATTTAAATCGTTTATCAATTCATAATGCCTATTCTCCTATAGCAATTTCAATTAAACCCTACAATTTTGCCATTTATTTCAAGTGGGATAGGAAATGAATTTTCATGATTTTCGGGTTTATAAGTAAACTAAATGGTTGAATAATAATTTTAATTATCACAAGAAACACATTTTGTTGTATTCATATATAATTATACTTCATTGGAGCGATTTGTTATGTGAAAAAAATTATTGAGTTTACTTTAATTTGTCTGCTGCAAATATTCATTCTATCATTTTTAAAAACTATATATTTACTTTTATTACAGATGAGAGAAAACCAAGAGGATTTCCGTTTATTTCAATTCCACCCTCTATAAGATCAGTGGCAAAAGGAGAAGATGCAGCTCTGATATGCTCAGCTACTGGCACCCCTCCACCGACAATTTATTGGTACAAGGACTTCAAAAGATTACCCATTGATGGAAAACATGTCTCACTAACACCGACAGGTAACTGAATACAAATTTATGTGTTATTGCTAGGGGTGTCCGGAATGAATTGATTATTCAAATACATATTATTCTATATAGCAACTTCTTCATTTCAGGAATAATTCAGAATAGTTAAAAATTTGTTATTTTGGGCGTTTGACGTCTGAGATCTGAGAAGGAGCCATAATGTTGGCGTTCTTAGAAACAGTCAGAACCTGCATTTTTAGTGCGTGTACAAAATCTGTTAATCTATTAGTTAATTGCTATCTGGTGTAGGTCAGTGTTCTGTATCGGTTCAATCCTGGCCTCTGGTTGAGTGCCTTGCATTTGAAACCCTTTTCAAATAAGATTAAGCAAAACTCCATAATGATATAAACAAATGCAATCTACCGCTATTTCTTGAGTCAACTTGGCCAATTTCTCCACTGTTTGCTTTGCACTTATTACTTGACATGGATATTTGATTTTGCTTTCTATAAACCAATGCACTCAGTGATGTAATATCTAATATTCTTATGTGGTAATTCTTTGTTTACACACTCAAAACTTAATTAGTTTAAAACTCAATTTATCAATGATACTTGAAACTTTGTGTGCTAAACTAATTTGAAAATGATCAAGTCAATACTTGCCCAAATCTCCTGGCACCAGTGTGTGTCACTGAGATTTTGAATTATTATCATGGCTGAAGGTTACTGATCTACAATTGACTATTCAGAATTGAGATATACACATATGTATATTTTTTCACATATGTATAAATTTAATTTTGTCATTCATCTGCACGAAGTGTAGACAAAGAAATCTACAATACACTGATATTATTTTTTTTTGATTCTTAGAGTACTGTAATTTTATAATCCGAAGATCCATTTTATCCAAAGATCTTCTATCATTCTAGTTTGTTCATTTATATCCTACTTAGAAACTAACCGAAACTTTGTTTTAATCTAAGTTTATCTACCATTTTAGTTTGGTCATTTTACCTTATTTATCAACTAACTGAAATTTAACAATCTTTCCAATACAGTTATTGGATTACAACGTTCTGGTAAGATAATCACTTCAAACCTTCATTCCATTTCATTTTCGTATTTTAGGAAAGTTAATTATTTTGCAAACAACCTATAGAAAGAAAAGAAAATAAACAATTTAAATTTAAATAACAGAGATAACTAAATGTTATGTTTCAAAATTACTGAGTAATAAATTATTTTGAAGAAAAAAAATCTGATAGTACAATCAAGAAAATTTATCTTCCTGAATATAGTATTATTAATTTGTACATTGTATGATATTTATGATATAGTCATCTCTCATGTATTTGTAAGGTATTTTAAAAATGTATTTATGATCTTAAAACTTGAATTTTGTTCAATAATGTAGGTTCTGACAAAATCATTGTAGTTAATGCAACTGGTAAGGCAAATATACAAAATCATTTCAATCTTCGGGCATTGTTTGAATTGAAACATTCTCATGAACATATCATGACATTGAAACATTTTCAAACACTGTCGATCCGACATTCATACCATTATTAAATGAAATTTCAGCTGAACCATTTTCCATGTTCAATCCCATCTATGATCCATCTACATTTCGTTATGATTATCAATCTTATCAATGATATCATTCAGTTTTATCACCAATGCTATTATTATCCACCATTTTCAACTTTCTTGCAGTTCCAGCCTGTAGTTTATTTTAAGTTAGTTAACTTTGTGACTTAGCATTTGACAAATAATAATGTGTGGATGAGTGTTTCTTTATCTACTTTTATCACTTGAAGATGATAATATATTTTATACAAGCACATTAAAGATTTAGAAAAAATTATTTAGAAGAAATTATTTATCACAGGACAATCTATATTTCCTGGAATCGGTAATTATAAAAAAAGATATCATGTTTCTGCGAAAATAAGACCTAACCTGAACTTCAAAAATGATTTTAATAAAAGCCCTGAAGAAAATTGAAATAAGACCCAGTTTCATTTTTGGGGAAACACTGTAGTTTGTAATCTTTACAATAATTTCTGCATTTTCGAACACTGCAAAAAAAATTGATTCAGATCTTGTATACCATGTATAGATAATCAATATGGCTAGACAACTTTAACCTCTTTTCCCACTCGCATTCGTTTGCATTTCTTTGATGAATTAGATTTACAGTATTCAAATCCCAGTGCAGCAGAAGAAATCCTATTATATCTATCTCCATGTATTTTAATGCTGTTAGTGTTCAAGCAGTCGTGAATTGTTGGAAAATTAAAATAGGAAAATTGTTCAATAATGTTTTTTTGGAAATATTTGATTTATTTTAGGGTGAATTTGAAGACAATTAAAAATGGAAATTAGTGAAATATGACTTGATGCAGTTTTTTGGTTTTATCATGTTACCATAAAATAACAAATAACAAAGTCTTATTTCTAAAAAAACTATGGATTTTATTTCAAATTCAACCATCAAACCCTGTGAATAAAAATACTTAGTGATGGAATCTTCATATGTGAATCCCTCTCAAACTTTCTTTTTCATTTATATTTCAATGCTTTAATTTGATTTCCACTTCATAAGTTAGCATTCATATACCATTACATTCAAATTACATTTTTTCATCATTTCCAGTAACTACATATTTGTAAATTTCAGGATTATTATATCATAAACATTTGTGTTGTTTTCGCGTTGTTAAAACTATTTCAAATGTTATTGTATTGTATCATATTTTTTTCAACACATTTCAAAAGTTCAGCAAATATGAATTGTTCAAAAATCGTTTAAAAAATGGATTTATTGATTGCAATTTAACAATGATCATAAATTGGCTTTTTACCAAGTTCAGCTTTCGTATTCAATGGATCTGAACTATGTAAAAACAAAACTGTCATTTGTGAAATTGTCAACAGTATTACAGCTTTAATAAAGACCTTTTTGTGGTCTAATTCCCTTCATCGACTTGCTACAAAAGATTTGGGCCATTGATAAAGGCCTTTCCCATGACAATTGATAGCTCACCCAAGTTGTTGAAAGACGGTTGTCTTTGTTGAAGCCAACATGTCTTTTCATGTGATGTTATCCGTGAATAAATGCCACATAGAATTTTGTTTTTGATGATAAAAAATTTTATAGTCTCCGTCTCAAATTTTCCGACGCACTTGACCTTACGCACTTGGGAATTTTGACTTTTACCTTACTTTCACAGTATTGCTAAAACGTATTATACTTTATATTTACTGCAATTATGTTGTTATTTATAATATTAATTATTCCTATTTTTTAATTTACAACAGGAACAATCAACATAAGAGAGTGTAATTACACTGATCATGGCAAATATCATTGTGCTGCAGAAAACAGTCATGGAGTATCAATTTCCAAACCTGCTACTTTGTATGTGCGAGGTGAGGATTTTATACATAATTTTTTGTCCATATTTACAACTCAAGTGATTCTTTCTTATCTTCAACTTCATATTATTATTATGAAAAGTGACTTCAAAAATTCAAAATTTGCTTGATGTGTTTTTGGAGTTATAAAACAATTTTGACGCAAAGACCAATTAGTATTTGCAAAAAATTACCCCAAAGCATTTTTTAAAAAGAGCTTTTTTCAACTTTTTCTTGAAAATTATATTCTGTTATTACAATTACGACCTTGAGTAAATCATACAAAATAAATAGAATTAAAGTTTACTAGGTTCAGGTTAGGTTTCAAAACTACTATAATTCATGAAACTTTTTATTCGATTAATTCAATCATGATTCATGAGTTTAGCCTTTATGGTCAAGATCTCAAATTGTGCAAAATTTGGCGACACTGGCATTGCTATTATCTAACTTACACAACTATGCTTTCTGATTTTATTTATCGTATGGAAACTTTAAACTTGGATATATATATCTTGAGTCTTCCGTTCACTTGCTTATTTTTTCTTTATTTTTACGGTGCCTAAGATCGCCCGCATCCTACTACAAGTAAGTTAATGAAGCAATGTATCAAACTGCTTCATCAATTATTGCATGATGTTTATTGTTTTTCTTCAAATTATGTTGTGAGACCATGGAAGAAATTCATGGACATTTTTTGTTATGTTTCAAGTTAAATTTATTTATATATTTTTAGATAAATAACTTATTTTATTTTTGTTCTAGACTTGTTTATATTTTAGTTAATAAAATTTGTTTGATAATTATGAATTTAAAAGTAATGAAATTGAGTATAAGTATATTTTTTCATCAAACGTAAAGCGGTAAGTGATAACTGTTCACCAATTATGTAAGGTATAATTTTAGTTAGTAAATCACTACTTATGGTCATGGAAACTAACAGTAAAATTATTCTTCATCTTTTCCTTGCAATGGTTTCCGACCCTATTTTGCCGGCTGTGGTTGAGTTTATTCAGACCATTATGGTTCAGTAGAAGTTTAAATAGACATTTGTTGATCTACCTGGTGATATTTGAAACTGTATAAACAATTTTACTTGAAGCAGTTTCATAATATAGGTTATATTTCTTGTAGTTGTCATGAGCTTTTCATCATGATTCCAAGTGTTTTTCTTCATTTATATAAATATTATGAATGCCTTGAATTGTATTCAAAGTAAATATTGGCTCCATCATTCAAAATCTTCGTCATCAATTATTCCTTATTAAAAACAATCGCAGGGTATATTTGATCATATTCGAAGGTCGTAAGTCATCAATGGCCATGTATGATCAAGTATACCTAAGGAAAGTTGATCTTTAGACAGCTGTATCTGAATGATCTTGCACAAGTCTGGCTAGTGGCTTATTGAGCAAAGTAGTCAGCATTTATTCTGTATTTTGTCTTTTCTTATCATCAAATCATGACTGATTACGCTATTTATACATCTTATGCGACAATGGTATGAATTATCCAGTTTGTTTCATTGGCTTAACATGGCAATGCGAGAAATTTTTAGCATTAATTTTGAAAAACTCTTTACCGATTCAAATTTTTTTTTTGAGAACTACTGAAAATGTGTCCTTTTTCATATGGTTATATCATTCTGCTAATGTCTTAATAAGTCAAAATTTGATTTTTATGAAAAATTGAATTTAAACATAACTCTATACTGGAGCATTTTTATCCAAAACAATAAATCTTATTTTCACTAAACTGTTAATAACTTGTTATTAGATTCTGATAAATGATTCCTGTCTAATCAGTCTAGATTCGATGATAGATGTTGGTCAGTCAGTCCACTTTCACAAATTCATACATTGTACGCACTGAGTATATATTATTTAAATCATTCAATTACAGGCCAGTTTATATATCATGGTATTTCAATATGTTTATTGTCTACCTAATACCAATATTATGATAGGTGGCTGTGTTATGAACTACAAATGTTATAACACCTGCTATTAGTATATTTATATGGATGATAAATAGTTTGTATTTGAGTTATGTATGTCCCACCATGTGTCTGATATAATATTATTGAATGATTTAGTGACAGTTCCACGATGTTATAATAACTCTAGCATACTCAATTCAAACGAACGAACACATATTTTTTTTATGTTTTTTGTCCAAGAACAGAACTTATTTTATAGTACCGTAAATGCTATAGGAAGAACATTATCATGTCACACAGTCAAATGTATGCGTCTAATATACACAAAAAGGGCGGTTAATTTACTGATGTTTTTTGTAAAATAATGGAATATCAAGGTTAAATTCATTTTCTCGTTTTTTTTTTATAAAATTAAAATTTTGGTTTTGCACCTAGCTTTAATTTTATTTTATTTTTAGTTTATTTCAAATTAAGGTTTACTGCTGCCAAATTCAATTCAAATTAAATACCTGTCTGATCTCCTTTGTACAAATTTTCAGATGAAATTAAATTTTGAGCAAATTTTATTTGTTTTGGAAAAGTTTCAAGTTCTTGAAAAAAAAGTAATTTTATTAAAAATACACTTTTTTTAATCCAGATTTTATTTATTGATGATAAACATTTAAAACGCTTTTTTAATAATTATTATATTGCCAAAAATCGTAATCCTTTTTCAATATTTTCAGAGCGTTCCTTCCCACCAAAGTTTTCCATCTCCCCATATCGTCAATATGACGTACCAGTCGGGCAAGGTGTCAATGTTACTTGTGTGGCCGTTGGTGGACCAATGCCAAAAGTAAAGTGGCAGAAAGGTTTGTTTATTTATATTATGGTTTGATGTCTTGTTATGATTTAATTATATTGAATGCAACACAAAAGAACATGTTGATACATGAATTATCTTTGACACTTCTGAAACTTTGATTATATTAATATACCGTAAACAATAAAATTTTCATCGTTAGACAATATTATTGATGCTTATAACTCTTTTATGTTTAGTGTTATATAACAACAGTGGGTGTGTCTGGCATCACAAAATTGAATTATAATAAATACATTTACTCTTAGTATTCATCGGCATCCTATTAAATTTGCCGAGTTTCGAATGATACACTACTGAAATATTTAAAAGTGCAAATGACTTGAAAAAGAATGGATTTCTGACATTGGTATATGCAACAAATTATACTAATATAGAATTCATTTTGTGTGAGCATCATCTGAAATACTATGCTGTATAGTCGTTCTAGTTGCAATTTTTTTATACATAGTAAAAAGGTATTTCTAAATTTGAAAAATTCATCATTTATATTGTATAAAAGAGGAATAACTCTGCTTTTTTCATATAAAGTCTTGATGCTTGAGTCATCTAAGATCAATATGCTTGACTATACGAATGCTCTTCCATTAAAAGTATAAATATCCAATGAAAATTTAATGCTTTTCCATTAAAAGTAAAATATCCAATAAAAATTAAAATCTATTTGGACACAAAAAACAAAATCTTTTGATTTTGCAAGTAATGAATCTGTTATAGCTTGAGTAGTGTAAACAAGCCACGTAGCAACTATGCAGTGATTTAATCTACTGAGGCTGATAGACTTCGTTTGCTTTCATTACAGAGACGAAGAATGGTCCAGTTGATGTTGTACCGGAAGATGGACCATCAGAAGCAGTTGGGAAGTTAGTTCTGCAGTTGAAAAATGTCAGAGAATCAGCAAATTATACTTGTGTTGGGACTTCCTCGATAGATACAATCAAATTTACAACATTTATTCGTGTTCGATCTTTTCCTAAGGTAAGAGAACTGATTTGCAATATTCAATGATTGCTGATTGCTGACTTTTTTCTTGACGGGGATTCACTGAATTAGGCTTCTTAAAAAAGGTAGATCTACCAGATCTTCTGTTTCAACATTATTTATAATACTTTGTTGTGATTTTAAGAATAAAAATTGATGCTTACTTATAGATTAGGCCAGGGATCATAATTATTTTCTTGTCTACCCCACGTTTACCCACACATTTTTTTTAAAAATTTAGCTAAATTTACCCCAACAGAGATCCCCTTCGCCACTATAAATATAATGTGTGCCTAACGGATAGCCTGCTTATAGCCTATTGATAGAGAACTCTGAATAATACATTCAATCATTGAAATACATTTATATATATTTTCAGCCACCTATTGCCCTTGAACAAGCTGACGTTCCAACCACAAGTACAGCTCTTATATCGTGGAAAAAAGGAAGTTCTGATCCTGTCACATCTTATACTGTTTATTATAAAGAACAGTCAAAACCAGATCAACCTTATTTTATTGTAGATGGAGTTGGATCAACTAGGCGAGTGAAATTTTTCCAATTCTTATGAAATTTGTCCAAACGTGAGACAAGCTAACTTTACGATTTGTGTTATATACAATTAGTAAGAGGCTTAGAGAGATTTCGTAAATGAAATAGTAAATCAGAAAACACAATTTAGGTATCCATAAGGAAATCGGCATTAAATATCGTATGTTATGTGAGATATACCGGTAGTTTGAATGGAATTCAATAAATAAGTATTTCCAAATATTTGAGAACATTTTTATAATTGGTGCCAGTCAAAAATAGGTTTAAATAGCAGTAAATAAGATCTCCAAGTGCAACTGGTGGAGAATTTAAATATATTTTTAATGTTGAATGTGTATACCAAACTGGATGAATTATGAAAGCAATATTGATTCGAATAAAAAATCAATCAGAATAAACTTAAAAATATATCCCAGATAAGTGTTGTGCAATATTTCGCACATAGAAGAAATCTGAGCTTAGTGCATCCCAAGTAAATTCTTGACTTTTCATCTTACTAATCACATGCTTATAATATTCTTATTAAAACATCACAGGTACCTTCTGGTTGACTTGAAACCATATACTTGGTATGAAGTTCGTGTATCAGGAACCAATGATTTGGGTGAAGGACAGAAATGTGAAGCTCTTTCTATACAGACTGCTGAGAAAGGTAGGTCTTGAGCTATCAAGTCTTAATAACTCAAGTCTTTGGATCTGTACAGTGCTTTATTATTGCACTAAATTTATTTTGTGAACCGATGGCCTAATGGTTTAGGCTTCACCATATTGACTTCGCAGTTTAAAAATCTTGAGTTTCAGTGTCCATGCCCACGACCTCAATGAATTTCTATCAAATTGGACAGGCATTGTTGAACTGAAAAAATGGCTTTTTTTCCAAAAATAGTGGCGCCCTACTTTGGAGCGGTTGATGTACAGAGCCTTCTTCAGAACAATGTATGAAACGCCATGTATACAAATTTATGAATTTGAACCTATTCTGTGTGATGAGTTTATGGTCACTCATATTCAATTTCAACTATGATTAAGTCGTTTCTGATGATGAACTGTGCTATCAAGTCCATGCATTATTTACAGAACAAGTTTGTATTCAAAAGTATATATTTTTGTACCTATTTACTGTTTCTTTTTCCAGAACCCACCAGTCCACCTGAGTCAATCAATGCCTATCTGCAAAGTGTCAGTTCGATTGTAGTAGTTTGGGAGCCTCCACTAGAACCAAATGGTGCAATATCTGCTTATCGTATCTATCATACCAGTGATGTTACTTTACCTTTGGAAGGTTTGTGTTTTATCCGTACATTTCATATTCTCATTCTATATATAGATAATGCTCTGGCCTTAATTTTCGTGGAGTAATTTTATGAAATTGAACTTAAGAAAAATCAAATTTTATTTCTTGATCTTTCTATTTATTGGAAATCAATATTCCTTACTTTGAAACTTTAAAAAATGTTTTAGATTTTGGGGTTCAGTGTTAGTCTTGCCAGTTAGAAAGTTTGTGTTTTGTTTGTTAATTTCACAATTTGTACACATTTATAATGTAGAATATGCTATGGTCTAAGTTGCTGGAGTGTTTAGGAAATTGTAATGTCCTAAATTTTGACTCATTTCAAAATTATCAAAAATTTTGGGTCCATATCAATATAAAGTGTAATGTAATAAGAATTTACCACTTTTTCATCACTTTGCCATCCTTGAAAATTTTTTAAATTGAAACCTTCAGAATGGATGGAAAACGAAGCAGCAGGTAATGAACGAGGAACAGTTATTCATGGATTAGTTACCGATACTACATATACCATTTGTGTCTCTGCTGTCAATTACCAAGGCGAAGGTCCGCTGACTAAAAGAATCACAGTTAAAACAACGAAAGGAGGTGAGACAGTCACTATAACTACTGAAAGAGTTGCTTTTTAATCTTTTCGAACTCTTGGTATGCTTCATATTCATTTCACATTTTGAGTGTTTTTAAACAGAAGGATGAACGTTGAATTTTTATGAAATTTTTATTTGAAAACAATACAAAAAATTAGTGCTTTCTAAGCTGATTATGTTATCATAATTTGAAGCCATATTCAACAAAGTATATTTCAATAAAGTTTTGGAAGTTCAAAAATCAAAAATGTACATTTTCCTCATTTCCGCAGATCTTTCAAGTTTTGTCCTTTCGGGCAAAATCTCTTGATTTATTCCATGAAGTATTCCACATTTCTTCTTAAATCTTTCTTCTATTAGGTTATTTCCGAGTACACGTATTTGGAGTTGTATCTTTTTCTATATTTATTTTCTTTCTCTAGTCCCACCTCAGCCTCGTAACATTGAAGGTGAATCAGAATCTCCTGACAGAATCACGTTGAAGTGGGAAAGGCCGCAGGTTGGCCAGGGACCTGGCGGCGATACACAGCCTGATATCACTACTTACTTGCTGGCATATAATTGTTCTGCACATGGATGTGAGGTAAGACAATGCTGAAATTATTTTAAGTTTATCTCAAGACCTCCAGAAGTGTATGTACGAATATGGAGGTAACTAATTTTGTTCACCTATTTTACATCAAGTTATGTAAAGGGACTGAAACCTATGGGCAGGGGGGATATTCACTTGGCTAACACAGCCCGTCTCCTAACTCGTAATAGACCTGAAAAATAAAAAATCAGAATAAAGTTATGGCCTAACCCTAACCTGGTACACACACTATCTCATGATCCACCTGCGCAAAGGCATAGAGAGCAAGGAAAGGTAGTTAGTTTCACGCAACCTCAACTGTTAGTCTAAAATTTGAAGTAGTAATTTACCTATGTCACCACTGATTGGCATCAAAATTTTGGGGTAAAAATGTATTTTTTAATCAATTTTAATTTAACTAAAATTATTTTTTTTTCAGACTCGAATGAAAAAACTCACCATACCACCAAAAGAATCATTTACTTTGACAAATTTAAAACCAAACACTGTATATGACATTAAACTTGCTGCACAAAATATCCATGGATTAGGATCTTTCACCCAACCCTTGTCAATTAAGACTCGTGAAGATGGTACGTACATTTATTATTTTGTAATTAGTATTGTTTTTCATTTATTATCATATTGTATTCAGATAATGATAATAAATTTTTCTTGTAAGGAAACTTGTTAATGTTGAATGTATTTGCTAAAGCTAAGCACTTATAGTAGATTGTTCATGTATGAGATGTATTGATATGTATTCTGAATGTGTATGGATGTCAAACAAAATGCTGTTGATTAGTATAGTTATGTTTATTGGCTTTTATCAGAGGGAAATCTTCCAAGAAGCTGCCATACGATAGTGCACACTTCATTTTAACTGATGACTTTAATGATAAGTTGGAAAAGGACAGTCACAGACAATGAATATGAATTTAATTATTTTTCCTACTACTGATTAGAAAGTTTGGGTACGAATTTTCACTGAAGTAGTCATTACTATATTTTGTATTTACTCTGGGGGAATCTTTTTGTATGATACATTATTTAATATGTATAACATTTATTTATTTTGCATGGCTAACGCCAAGTAACTATTTGTGTTGCATTTTGTTTATAATTGTTTTGTTTATTTCTTTTCATCATGTTGCATGTGTCGTAACAACCCCATGTTTCGTATTATGTTGCTACAATGTTCCAACCACTTCCTTGTTCCCGTTCACTAATTCATGACATTTGACTGAAACCCGATTCAATTTGGTAACCTTTGAACCTAACAGAACCCTCTGCCCCTCCACTAAAAGTCACTGGACGGGCGATCGACTCCCAAAGAATTGCCGTAACCTGGGTTCCTCCAGCAAAAGAAAATCATAATGGTGCCCTTACTGGGTATATCATCTACTACTACCCCAACCCCCAACAAAAAGGCACACTTTCCCATACCCTATCAGAAGAACCGAGCCAGAAAGCTGTTCGAGTGAATTCTGACGGCAGCATTGCAGTCATCAATCAACTGACGCCATACACTGAATATATAATTTGGATGACGGTGTCGAACTCAGTTGGCGAAGGGCCGTCCAGCCCTAAAATCAGAGTTGTAACCCATGAATCTAGTATGTATTTTTGTTATTTATGTTGTATATATTTTTATCTTATTTAAAAAAGTTTTGCATGGCACAGTTTTATATTTAGTTATATATATTGTAAAGCTGTTGTAACAGTTTGCATTTGAAACTCTTTGACTATATTGACATATTTATATGCAAGGAATTACTATAGTTTGGAATCGTTCAAATCTAATGTTCTCCATTTAATTTATTACACTCGAAGCGAGGTTAGCAAATTCTGAGTTGGTAAAGTAAAGAGGCAATTTCAGAAATATTTACTTAAAGATCCATTGGCTTTTTTTAATCGAAACCTCATTTATTAAATTATTTTTAAACGTACAGCACCATCGGGTCCACCGCGACATGTCACGGCTGAGTCGATAAACTCAACATCAATTTATTTGAAATGGGGACCTCCGGGTTCAAAACAAAGAAATGGAGAGATCACTGGATATGAGATTACTTATGGTTCTTCTGATAAAAATGGACAAAATGTCGGAAATGTTAAAAACGTACAAGTTCGTCTTGGTGCTTTGACTGAATTAAAGGAGAGTGAAGCCAGAACAGTGGTATGATTAAATATATATCTGTTGTATGATAAATTTTTGTTTACTAGAATTTTTATATTTTTCCAGTATGAAAGGAAAACTAGCAAGATGGCTTTTTTATATGGTAAACCACGATCCCTCATTCAGTTGCTCATCCATTTTGGATATTGTAATAGTTAACCAGTTACTTGTTTCAGAGGCGCTCCGGGAAGTATTCGTACCAAAATGATGCACAACCTGAACAACCCCAACCTGGTACACATACTATGCTCAGGTTGTGCGTCATCTTGGTATGAATACTTCGGGAGCACCTTTTTAAATACAGAGACTTGTACAATCAAAATAGGGAACAATGATTAATGTTAAATAATGCAAGTTAATGCTATGAAGGAAATTAGAGCATATTTTAGAAAAATTGACTTCAAGCAAGGCCATATGCTCTCATTCGGTAGTAAAGAAGACTTGTTTCTAAGCGAAGTTACTCACTCTCACTGAATAACCAGATCTGTTAAAACTATAGAGATTTTCTCTAATAATATTTTTGAAATCCTAAAACCCCCTTTTTTGAGAATTTTAAAGTTGTAACTCAGGTGCATATTATATTTTTAAATCAAGAGATTTCTTGAAATGTATTGTAATCTTAATCAAATCTACTTCAGTGCTACAAAGTTCTCAAATTTGGCAACAAATTCAAATGTTATGTTGTTATGGTAAGATAGCATCATGTTATGCTTGTTAATGATGCATGACGTCTTTGCATCGAAAAATACAAAAAAAATCTTCCAATACAACTGACTGATAATAAAAATACGCTTTTTCCTCAACTAACATTCTATTTATTACCTTTTAATAATATATTTGCAAGAATATTAACTTTCAAACTTTGATATCAAATATTAGTACAACCTTTTTTATTCTAATATAAAAACCCTTAATTTCAGATTGACTAAGATAGCTAATTTTTAAAAAACGATTCAAATACATTTTGCTTTGATCTCACCATATATCAATCAATGAACAACTTTCTTCTGATCTGCTTTTAACAAAATTCCTTGAATCTTTTAATAATGTGTAAAATATTCTCTTTCTCTCTTATTGGTACGAACCTTAAAAGTGTACAGAAACAATGTCTTTGATTTAATAATACAGTATTTTAGTAGGTTTTATTGTTTATACATATACATATAGTTATATAAGATGCCCACTCTAATCTTTTATCCCAAATTTAATAGAGGTTTAACAACATTTAGCTCCACTGGTTCTTCAACGTAATTATCATATATTAGGTAATTTCACGAGATTCTATATTTTTTTTAAATATAAAAATAAAATTATACACTTGACAAAAAAAAAAAATTCAAAATATTGATTACAGTTTGCTAAAGTTTTTTGTGTTTTCTGCAGGCTCATATGATAACAGACTTAGAAATGGACATGTATTACTCAATACAAATAGCTGGAGCAACATCTAAAGGACCAGGAGAAAAGAGTGATCCACTTATTGTGAAAACCAGAGGGGCAGGTATTATATACTATGCCTAAATTCAATCCTCGTTTATCTAAAACTTTAATTCCCAAATATTATTTAACAATAGATTAGAATACTAAATATCATTGTTTATGACTCGAAAAGGAATTCAATTATCTGGAAAGGATTTATAGTGCTTATTGTGTCATTTTTCAGAAAATTCAAGCTTAAAAATATCTTGAAAAGTCCGAAAATCTTTAAAATTGAAATTTTATTTTTTGCTTTTCCCAGCTCCATCAAAGCCCAAATTATCTGTTACAAAGAGTGATGGAAAAACAAAGCTGTCATGGGCACCTCCTGATACTCCTAATGGAAAATTGATTAATTACGTCTTGAATTATGGGTAAGTTACTATTTAGAAGTTAGAATAATATATGAAAATTTAATTTCCATAGTATTTTTGGGAATCGGGGAAAGAATAAATTTGTATTTATGTTGCAGTTAGGTTACATCCACTGTGATTGTAAGAGATAATCTTATGTTATAAATGAAGTTAAAAAACATTTTGAAAGAGGAAGCATTAGGAATGTCCACATATCTATTTTATGTTAAAATTCGCTCAAATCATAGTAACGTGCCCTCACTCATAAAGCAAACGAGACTGCTATGTGAGGACCACTAATACTCATGTTATCTTTTTGAATGTATTTTATCAACATACCATACATATTTTCTGGTGACCGTACATTTGAACCCATGTACATTTGAACCCATGCGTATATCCACGGGTTCAATCTATATGCGGATGCTAAAACCCATGGGTTAGGGTTAGTATGGGTTTAACTATCCGTGAAACAAAAAAAAAATCCATGGGTGCAATAGCATACAGGTGCAATTGTCATGGGTTCAAATGTACGTGGGTTCAAATGTAATGGAACCATATTTTCTGATTTTAGACGAAAAGAAACTCAAAACGGTAAAGTTCTCGGATGGGAAACATTGAAATTTTCAGCAGATGCTCGAACTAGATATTATTATCCAACTAAGGTTTATCCAGGGTGGAGTTATGAGTTTAGAATGGCTGCTGAGAATGAAGAAGGTTCGTCTGTTAGTCTGTTAATTTGCTTTTATAAAATAGTTAGTTCAGCAGGTTAAGATGAAATCTCAAATGTCTAAATTTGAAAGTACAATCAGGGGCTGTGATAAATAGGAATGGCAGTTAACATATTAAATGTTTCAGAAAGTCTACTCTGCATGTTTTGCGCTCAAAATAAAAGTAAAATTAAGAAGTGATTACTGTATATTTTCCAATTAATATTTGAATTTAGCTTGGCATTTCAAGTGTGAGGTTACACATCTTTTACTGCTAATCAAAAGCAGTGGTAAGTTTAGACATTTTATTGAAGAACTCTATGGCCTTTTAAGATGTGGCAAATGGGGTAGTCTACCCCCATCAGAAATTGGACAGTCAATAAGATAGAAAATCTTATGCTGAAACACACAACTTTTGACATTTGTTTGACAATAATTGCTAACCTGCTGCGAATTCGCAATGCAAATTGTAAAAAATTTAATTTACATGAAATTTAAATATTCTGTATTTCTCTCTTTACAGGTGTTGGTACAGAAGATATTGCTCAACTTACGTTGGCCTCACAGAAACCTGCCGATGGTCCCAGAAACTTAACAGCAGTTCCAGCTCGTACTAAACTTAAACCTCTTGCTAGCGGTGAGCTGCCTCTCGCTTTTATGATCACTTGGGATCCACTGAGCTTAGATAGAAGCAATGGAAAAGTTACGCAATACGCTCTCTACTGGAATAATGAAGCAACAGTAGAAACAGTATCGAGCACAGAATATGAGAGAATTTTAATCTCTGATGGGAAAACTTCATATTTGTTTGATGATCTCAGACCAGAGGAAAAGTGAGTTATAAGTTTACAGTTAGTTATAGGGTGTTGCAATTCTTTCCATTGTAATTCGAAATATCAGGAATTTCGGTTTTTACTTGAACTTTCCATTTTTTATGGAATGTATTCATGAGTTTGAATCCATTTTTTAAAACATAAATAAACGGATATCAGTCATATACTTCTTTTTAAACCAGTGATAAACAAAAGTTAATTTAAATTTGGAATTTGCAATAATTTTGAATAACTCAGTCCTCGTATGATCATTTTTAGAAAATTCACTCTTTTGTAATCAGATTCGGCACTGGTCATCAAGTTCTTTCAAATTTTATAAATCTGAAATAATTGGCTATCCGATCTTCAATATATCAAACTATTCTGATTTGAACAATCTCTGTATCACCTTCAAAAAAAATATAAGAGCGATTTTGTTGTATAAATCTTAATTAACTAGTTATTTCAGAAATATACAGGGTTCCTGTTTTAAAATGTAAATTCTTAATAGAATATTTTCATACTGCTGAGACGAATTTCACTCAATTTTTAAAATGCTATTGTTAAGTGAATTTTTTGTTGGTATAAAAACCATAATTTTTTTTTTGTATCAAGATATACATTCAAGATTGCTGCCATCAACTCTGCTGGTGAAGGACCTCAGTCACCAGCATTGATTGCTGAAGTAAAAGAAGGAGAGAGAATTCACGTCGATAATTTGAAGAATCTTGCTATCATAGAAATATCATCTTCTGCAGTATGGCTACAATGGGAACTTCCTAAAACATTCACAGATAATATGAGATACATGGTTAAATATGAGTAAGTTTAACAGATATACTTTCAGCTCTTTTTTATCGTCAGAATATTTGGAATTTGTTTTGATGTATTGTTTTGAATGAAAAATCATTCAATAATTTGCCATATATGGATCCCATTCAAGTCTTTATTTAATGTACCATAATGTATTTAATGTAATTTTTTTTTCCTAAACCTTCGCACTCTTATGATGAAAAATTTATTTGAAGATTTTTCTTTGTGTAATTATTCAAGTTGTTGTACAACATTTACAGAAGTCTTGTGAGATCTCGTGCATTACCTGGAGTTCATAAGATCAGAGATGCCTCAACATTGAAAGCTCATATCACCGGTCTAAAACCTGACACTCCTTATAATTTCACCATCGTTCCTGACATGATAGAAGCAAGTAAGTACTTTCATCGAATGGTCTATTTAGGTATTTTTATGCAAGCCTTTTTCTGAAAAATTATTTGCGCTAGGCTACATCTATTACTAACTTAATCATCTATATTTTCTGCCTACTTCCAAAGAGGTCCAAAACATAATCAAAAGGGTAAAAAGAATGCTTCAATACCTCAAATTTGAAAGTACTGCTAAATAAATGGTATAGGGTGGTTGTAAAAAATAATGAAATATTGTCTTGTTGAATGTTGCTTATCCGAATGACTTTTCATGCAAAATTAAGTTGCCGTCTTTTTTTGCATTCTCCTTCATCGTTTGCATAGAATTTTTCTTTGCTTGCAGGTACTTCGCAAGTAGCATCAGTGACAGCACAGACTGTGACTCCTGATCTTCCAGTATCTCCTCGTATATCTGATGTTACGAGCAATGGTACTGTACAGATCTTACTAACAAGAGCAACTGCCTTCAGAAAAGTGAAAAAGTGAGTTTGATTTTGGTTAAATTGATCAGTCAGTGATAGAATTGTGTTCAACTTTTTTGTCATACTTATTGGACAAGGTTTCATGGTGATTTTTCCACATGATTCAAACCTGCAACTCCACACAGGGTAACTAAGACAAACTGACAATAACAAACTTCTGAAACTGTTCGAATTAGCAAGTAATATTGTCATGCAAATTATAAATAAACAGATTATTTCATCTATGCTATTATTTTCTTTATGTAAAGACATAAGATTATTGATAACCATAACATTTTCAGATACCAGCTGGTCATTGTACCACTTATCAAAAGTCCAACTGGTGAAATGGTTGCTCCAATGAAACCAGATGAAATTGGAATGAGTGTTTTACGATTGAATTCTTTAACAATGAGAAGACGAAGAAGAAAGAGAGAGGTATAATTTTGTCATGTGTTGTTTTTTTTGTTACTCCTGAAGTATGCGAACCAAGATAGTGGACACCGGACATAGTATGTGTAACAGGTTTGCCCCAGCTGCTATAGTTTGAAAGAACCTGAATTTTCCGATTTGACGTTACTTACCCATTTTATTACTCCCTGGGTGGGAGTATAACTCCAGATTTTCCGATGCCATTCAGTTGAGTCTAACCCACCACACCCACCTATTATGTCGATTTCAAAATTATGCTATTTGGTTTTTTATGGATTTTCAGGAAATTTATTTTTATTTAACATTCCGTAGTTTACGATATATGTTGAATTAGGAAAATTAGTATGGCGAATTGGTATGATTCTTGCTGCACACTAACACAAATATATCTTTGTAAGATTTTGGCTTTTCAACAGACATACATAATTGAAATACGTAAAAATAATATAGCAAGTATAAATAATAACAAGACTAACTTTTTCAAGGATTTTCACTAAAACTTTCAATATTTGACAAAATTTTCTCTTCACTATATGTATAATATCTTGTTTATTAGGTATCTGATAGTCGTCCATACATCACTGCTGAATTCCCAACTCTCTCACAACTACTTTTCACGATTGGTGATGGACTCAATGTTGGCGGATACATCAATAAACCATTAGAAAAGGGAAAATCTTACAAAGCTTTCTTGAGAGTTCAAATGACAGCACCGGTGAGATATTTATCCAATTTTTGTAGATTTCATGACAGAATTGGTACAAACAAATTTTGCTAAATATAGAATATAATTTAGTAATATTCGAAGAGTTTTCCTCATTAGGAATTACTCTTTGCGATATTATTCGAAAAATTTGCACCAGATTTTAAATTAAAAATTTGGCGTTAATACTTGTTCATGATGTTATGTTCAAAACGAATTTTGCTAAAAATGAATACAGTCGAGTAATATTCAAAGAGATTTTTATTGTAGAAACACGCCATTTTCTGAAATTTTTAGAAAAATTCACATCAAATTTTTACTTAAAAAACTGGCATGTCATTTTTGTGTATAATGGGGTGATTTGGAAATTACATATAAGAAAAAAGATCCCAAACGCCAAATTTGGTCCAAAAGCTCAAAATTCAAAACTAAAATAACAGGTTTTGTCTCAAATCTCCATTAAAACTTAAAAAATATAACTTATTGAATTAAATAATTCCATCACTTAATCTTCAGGTACGTTCATTCACAACTAGCGATTATTCAAGCACATTCACTGTTCCTGCTGGTAAAGCGCAAGATACTGATGAACCTGTATCTGACTCCACTTCCAAACCTACAGAAACTGCAGAAGTAGTGACGGCTTCTTTATTTGATCAACTGTGGATTATCGGACCGATCGCTGGAGGAATTCTAATTATACTAATTGTCGTACTCTTCATCTTATTGAGAAGGTAATTTTTATGTTTACTTTTGAGGAATGTGAAAAATCGTGGGAATAATGACCTTATGGTTCAAGCATTGGCGTTTAACTATTTTGGCATATCGCTGGTAAGAAGTATCGAGTTGTTCAAATTTCATGCCTTCTATCTTACTCAAGGTGTAATATTAGACAAGGGTGGTGGATCGAAAAGACTCGTGTCACTTCAAAAATAGCATCTCGTTACATATTGTCCATCATTTGTACAGAGCTCGGATAAGAAAAAATTCCATAAATGTTGCTGCAGTGGCCTAGCTCTGTTGCCATCCCTAGTCCAAGATTTCAATTTCAAGTCCTTGTTCATCAAAGAAAGAGCTTGAGCTCACCACTACAAACTGAGTTGGTTGAGGTGGACCAGAACCAGTTGAATTTTTCCAAACTTGTAGCTTTTTTGTTTATGTGACTGCTTATATAGAGCCATGTTTTAATTAAGAGAACTGCGCTGCAAGATTTTTGTTTGCAATTTTGTTTTTTTCATTTTTTGCTTCATTTTGGAATAATCAGTAAAACACCAAGGTAAAATATACTGATGGGCCTGATGATTATTGTCACGTAAACCCATCCTTGTTTTGCGATTATTTGTATTTGTATAATTGAACATTACACATGTGGATTGTGTAGTATAGTTATTGCATGATCATTGAATATGATAATGTTAATCGCAATGGGAAAGTCACATATACGAATGTTTTGTAGGTGTTATAAGGGTTCAAAATTTGAAATTAGCTCAGGATGAAAATATCACAAATGGCTTTTTAAACTATTGATTAATGTGTTCTTGTCCGTTTGATCTTTGTCCGAAAGAACATGTAAAATACTTTGTAAAAAATTTAGAATTCTGGACATTTTCTGTAATGTGATAAATTTCTTAATTTATAAGTGTAGTCAAATGTGACCTTCCACTCATATAATCACGCTTAAAAGTAAATAAAAAAACTATAAACTTATTGTAGTCGTATATTTTCCCTTTATCAGTCATGTGATGTAAAGTTAATGCCAACAGGTTGAATTTTATGAATAATATGTGTATTGTTTGTAATCAACCTGCCTTGATGTAAATAGTTTGTGGCATCTTATGTCGATGTAAGTCACCCTCAATCATTTGTAATCACTATTTAATGAGTCTTAGAACGAATATATGGGAACTTGGCATTAGTAATAATATATCAATAATAGAGAATATCCATACATACTCTTAAAAAATAAAACAAAAGCATTGGACATACTGGTTTTAATACTGATATACGTTTGCTGTTTTGAATCTTAGCTGTATTAAAACCATAAAATTAATATTTTAACAGAAAAAAATCGAAGAGTCCACAACAGCCAGTAAAATATACAGCTCCTATCAGCAAACAAGTAACATCCCATGTTGATCCTGTGGAAATGAGAAGAATGAACTGCCAGACTCCAGGTATTCGAGTTACTTTGGCCACTTGACTTTATTGTGTCTGAATTTGTAGAGTAGTATTAATATAACGCGATTATATTGCAATATATCATGAAAAAACTGGGATCCTTAAGTTGGAGCATACAGCCCAGTGTTTGTAGAAATCTCAAAACCCTGAGTTAGTTGAGTCACAGGAGTTCAACAATGAGTCAATTACCCAATTTACTCTCACTGCTATTTAGTTGGTTATGAGTCAGAGTTATTTCATTCAGATGACTCGCGGCACTTCAAGTCTTTGATGAATCTAGACTCAATTTGAGTCGAACTTGAGTTAATAGCGCCCAAGCAATGTAATGTTGAGTGATTTAATAAGGGAATATAGATTCATCAAAATAACTTGTTTTGTTCAAAAGTTATAGGAATTGTTGAATGTTTCTCAAGATTTAAATTTATTTTCTATTTTTCAAGGCATGATAAACCATCCACCGATTTCAATAACTGAATTTGAAGCTCATATTGAAAGATTGAAAGCAAATGACAATCTCAAGTTCTCACAAGAATATGACGTAAGTTCAATATGTCGAGATTGCAATGTTGAATAGTTTTTTACCTTATTTTCACAGACAAGCGTACTGTACTGTCAGTGTACTGGCAAGAATCAGTATTTTTTCTGTTGGACATAGCTACTCCTACACTATTTGGCCCATCCTAATCTTGTGATTCTTGAGTGATTCTTTCCACAATTGGTCAAAAAAGTATGAAAATATGTGTTTTATTAATAGACTTTATGAAATGATAATAATCATTTCGGAAATGGTTAGAACTTAGCTGAGCACATGAAAAAAGGAACGTCAGAACAGTCTGATAGAATGCCACCTGGTGGCAAAACAAGCCAACTTTGGGGATAAATGTTTGGCCCTATATAACCCAGAGAAAATTCAAAAAAAGTAAGAACAGCTAATTTAAGTATCGGTGAATTGGAAATCTATTGGTTTATTAGCAGCGGAGAAAAGGAATTTTTCACACAACTACAATGAGAACTGCAACAATTTTGCAAACCAATTGGCCAACTTTGTGTCCAATAAATCATTTTATATTCTTTTTTAGTCGATCGACCCTGGCCAAGCATTCACTTGGGATCATTCAAATATGGAAGTGAACAAACCAAAGAATAGATATGCAAACGTTATTGCATATGATCATTCGAGAGTTATTTTGTCACCAATAGACGGAGTTCCTGGATCAGATTATATCAACGCTAACTATCATAGCGGTTACAGGTATGTTCGTTACTTTTTGAATTGAGTAATGTATGGATTAAAATTTTGTGTTTACTTTTGTTATGAGCTTGGATCTTGTCAAACTCTTACTCAGAATGAAATAAGAGACTGCAATCATGCAGGCCAAGCCAGTGTTTTTTTGGGGTAAGGGGGCATGCTTTGGGCTACTGTATATCCCTCCCTAGTTTTTGGCATTATCGGCAATAAATCCATTTATTTTTGCATCGTTTTGTGTCACATTATATAAATATTTGATTCCCTTATTTCAGTCAATATACTGCACTAGGTTATAACGCTATAAAATGATGGGGAATGAAACTTCTGTTTCACATAGTTAAGCTTTCAACAAAAATTTTCTCTTTTGCCTCAAATTATAACTACCAGGGTAGCGTTACCTTACTTAATATTATCAAAATTATTGACTGATGGATAAACAGAATTAAATTTTTCTGTTTTAATTTTCAGACGTCAGAATGCGTATATTGCTACTCAAGGACCAACAGTTGATACAGCAGGTGATTTCTGGAGAATGGTTTGGGAACAAAGAAGTTCTTCCGTTGTTATGATGACGAAATGTGAGGAAAGAGGAAAGGTGGGTTGTTGTGTATAATTTTTAGAATTTATGAATAACTGGGATATTAATAATCCCTGTTCAATTAAGCCAATATATATAGCATTTCGTCAGAAAAAGAATCTAACGAAAGCTTACCAATAGACTTTCATTTCGTTGAAAGAAATTCAATTCTTTTGGTTAGAATTGGAATATGTGGTTGTTTAACAGACAAAAAGCCTTCAAGGCCGTCATGAGTCGTTTGTTTAAATTTTTTCCATTTCAAATTTTCAGGTTAAATGTGATCAATATTGGCCGGCAACAGGTAGCGAGACTTATGGTTTGATGCAAGTCACGTTATTGGATGAAATTGAACTTGCTACTTATTGCATTAGATGCTTTGCTCTTCATAAGGTAAGTAAGTCATCATGGTGCATCGTGTTTTGAAAAATTCATAAGATTGTTACAAATAATTCTTTTAGATCCAAATTTGTTCAAATTTTATTCAGTTCATTTTGTCCATTTGTTTAAAATTATTAGATATCTCATATCAAATCTTTTCTTTACATCAGAATGGTCTCAGTGAACGTCGTGAAGTTCGACACTTCCAATTTACAGCATGGCCTGATCATGGTGTACCTGAGCATGCAACACCTGTACTCAATTTCATGAGAAGAGTAAAAGCCTCCAACCCAGCAGATGCTGGTCCAGTCGTTGTCCATTGCAGGTCAGTTGAAAATTGTGTGCAGAATAGTTAATGCCCAAAATCAATCAAGATCAAAACAAGAACAATGTAAAGACAGGAACAGGCAGCGCTACCATAACTTGATATTGACTTACCAGTCAAAAATTGAACAAGGAATCATCTACTTTACAAAAAACTGTCATCAAGTTGAGTGACTGTTCAATATAATCTCTGATTGGTAGGCCCACCAAAGCCATACTCATATATAATAACAGAACTTCGAAAGTGGAATCTCCAACTTCAAACTAGATATTAAAATCTTGTGTGTTTTTGTGCAATAACCGGTTTTGGTCAACCGTGGCTGTATCTACCCAGTAGAACTGTATGTTCAGTTCGGTGGTAGTTTTGTGTAGGATTAATTTTAATGGTTGGAAAAAAATAAACTTGAATGTCCAAATTTGGTCCACCCTTTCACTGGTTTGTCTGATTGTTATTTGTCAGTAAGGATGCCAAGTATGAGTACTTACAAGTATTCGATTCCTAAATTTTCGATTCCGATTCTCGATTCCTCGACATATCTTATCGAAAACACATACCCACCTAAGCAATACCATATGAAATTAAACAAGAGCACGATGTTCAAATTCTGGACTGCGAAGAAGGCCGGAACTAAGTAGTATGGGTATCCAATCTGTCACAGGAGACAAAATCGCACAAAAAAAACAAATTCTTCATAACCCACAGAGATTTAAAAATAAATAAACGTTAAAGCCTTCTATCGAAATACTACATATAGTGAAGTGAAGTTTGCGTCGTCGTAGCAACTCAACATAGCAGTGAAGCAGTTTATACATATATGCGAAGAAATTGCCACAAAACTTTACACATTCTTTTCAATCCCAAGTTTTAACCTTGAGAATCGATTCCAATGCATCGGAATCGATTCTAGTCGATTCCGCAAAGAATCGATTCTGTAATCGAATCCGGACTCGATTCCGCCATCCCTATTTGTCAGTAGTTTTAGGGCTTTATTAGTGTAAAAAATTAGTGTTTTCAATTTTATTAATATGTTTCAGTGCTGGTGTTGGTCGAGCTGGATGTTTCATTTGCATTGATGTTGTTTTGGAAAGAATCAAGAACGAAAAAGTTGTCGATGTTTATGGACAAGTTACTTGTATGAGAGCTGAGAGAAATTACATGGTAAGAACTATATTTTGGTATTAACTGTGGCGCTCCAGAAGTGTGTGTATCAATATGGAGGTAACTAATTTTGTTCGCTTGCTTTACATCAAGTTGTGTAAAGGAATGGAAGTCTATGGGCAAGAGGGTATATTCACTTGGGTAACCCAAACAGTCCCCAAATTCGTAATAGAACCAAAATAAGGAAAATCAGAATAAAATTATGGCCTAACTCTAAACTGTTCACACACTACGTGAGTACCTTAACTGTTATAAAAGAAATACAAGGTGTTCTGCTTAGTTACTAAAAATGGATGTTCAAAGCTATTTTGAAAATATTGATTTTTTGATCGTAAAATTTATAAAAAATTTCATTTAAAATATTGTGATTTCTGACAATTAATAAATTGTTCACGATATAAAGTAAACAGAAGTTAACTGATATTTCTATTTGTTTATTTCGTAGTCGTATAAGTTTTAAACCATGGTAAATTAAAAATAAAAAAAAAAACTTCTCAGGTCCAAACAGAAGACCAATACATTTTCATACATGATGCTCTCATGGAAGCAATATCATGTGGAAACACTGAACTGCCAGCAAGAAATTTATATGCTCATTTGCATAAACTTACCAATACTGATACTGGAGAGAATGTGACAGGAATGGAACTTGAATTCAAGGTAAAAGAGATGATTTTGTTTTATAATAAATAATTTATTTAAAGTGATTGGCATTATTTGTGTTTAGCAAATTTATTATAGAGAAATAAAGTAAAACATTGAAAAAGGTTTGCCAAGCAATTTGTAATATTTGATTATGCTGAATATGTGAATGATATAAGTCAAATTCAAAGTTTTTTTAATGTGTGTATTGGGCTCTATTCTTTAATGTAAAAATTACTTTAAATAATATATTTATTTTTCTCCTTTCAGCGTTTAGCAAGTCATAAATCTCCATCTTCGCGTTTTGTGAGTGCGAATATGCCGTGCAACAAATTCAAAAATAGATTAGTCAATATTCTTCCATATGAGGGCACCAGAGTGTGTTTACAACCAATTCGCGGAGTTGAAGGATCTGATTACATCAATGCCAGCTTCATTGATGGATACCGGTAAGGGATTCATATAATTAATCCGTTAGTAAGTAATTTATATATTAATTTTTTGGTACTCCCGAAGTATGTGAACCAAGATGGCGGACATCGGAACATAGCATGTGTCCCAGGTTAGGGCTAGGCCATAATTTTATTCAAATTTCAAGTTTATGATAAATGGCTGCTCTAGTCCAACTTAGGCGGAGCTGAGGACTCCCAAAACTGGTTTTGATCACCTATAAATTTATTTGCAACATATAAAAAATCAGGTATGTCAAAATGTATTTTTCGGAATTCAAACATGTCTTTTCAGTGATCGACAAGCCTATGTTGCAACACAAGGTCCATTGCCTGAAACTACAGAAGATTTCTGGAGAATGTTGTGGGAACATAATTCTACTATTGTCGTTATGCTGACTAAACTGAGAGAGATGGGACGGGTATGTTATTCAATCTAATAATTCACTTGAGTGAGCCCTTTTTCATCAAGAATTTCCAAATTTTGATATGCAGTCCGAAAGTCCAATTTCCGACTGACACTAAAAGGCATTAAGAATGCTTTTCAACAATCAAATAAAGGAAGCTTGCACACACTAAAGTATTTGAGGTCAAAATTTGGGTTTCTCGGAATTCAGAGCCAGGGTCAAAATTAACCTGTGTCCAGGAGTGTAAATTTATTTTCAGATTAATGAGACTTGATTTCTATTGTTGTATCCTGTTATACTACAATAAATTTTCGATTTTATATATCTTTATCTTTGATTTTGAATCAATTTTAATTTAGTCATCTTCTTTAGGTATTATATTTGTAGGGCAAAATAAAATAACTTGACAGATGCTGCTATGTCAGATTATCAATGGCTTATCCCACTTGTGCTTGCACTTTATAATTTTGGTGCCTTTAATTTTCAGGACAAATGCCATCAATATTGGCCTGCAGAAAGATCAGCAAGATATCAGTACTTTGTTGTTGATCCAATGTCTGAATACAGCATGCATCAGTATATACTGAGAGAATTTAAGGTTAGTTATATAGATGGTATTATTTTCCAACAAATTTTGTTTTGTGATCAATAAAATTATCAAATGAAAAGCGACTTTTGTCTGCTATATGTGATTTAGCAGCTATTTAGGCAGCTGTGCGGCATAGCATCGCTCTGGCGTAGTATCAATTCTGTATGCATCACAGATAATAAATCAGGGATTGCATACCATGCCCACAGCCCACTTTCTCATCAAGAGAATAATGATACTGCCAAACTGAAAAGGTTTCGGTCTATCCAGATAATAGCAGCCTATTCTGAGTGTGAGATGTATAAAAACAATTGCATACATAATTTGAGGAAACAGGTAGCAATGCTCAATTAGTTATTTTCAGGAATTCGTATTGTTTATGGTTCCTATCTCTCCATCTATGTTTAGAAACCTATTCTTATTTTCTTCTAACAGGTGACAGATGCAAGAGATGGACAATCTAGAACAGTTCGTCAGTTCCAGTTCACAGACTGGCCAGAACAAGGAGTTCCTAAATCTGGAGAAGGATTTATTGACTTTATAGGACAGGTTGGTACTTCTTAGCTCTTTCTGAAGCAGAATAGGGTGTCAATAGTCTCAGAATTTTTTTAAATTGTGAAGGGAGTTTATCGATATCGTATATTGTTTTGGCCCTCACTGATGTATTAAGTGAAGTAAAAATACTTGAACAATTACTGATTAAAAACGACAAACTGGTTAAGATATATTGAGAACTGACTTTATGGACACCCTCTTATGATTTTTATATGAAAGGCAAAAATAACCATTGAAATGTTAATAAAATTAGCTGATTACTATCCGTCTCTAATCATGATTTCATCTCCTAATTCAACTTATTCAGGTTCACAAAACGAAGGAACAATTTGGTCAAGAAGGTCCAATCACCATACATTGCAGTGCAGGTGTAGGAAGAACTGGAGTTTTCATCACATTGAGTATTGCTTTGGAGAGAATGAGATATGAAGGAGTTGTAGATATGTTCCAGGTTAGTAGAATATTTTATTACTCAACACTCCCTCAAGAAGAGTTATGAACTTGTTTAGGTATGAGTGTTTAAACCAGTTAGTCAATTTTGCTCAATGACCAGAGAGAAATAAAAAATCATACTTAACACAGATTGACTTACCGGTAACTAGAATTTTATACATGTTGTTCCCAGTAGAAATGATGGAAATCTCTGCCGCGCTATGGGCTAATAAGCTGTACTCCAAAAATCCCAAGATTGATCATATATTGTGTGGTGTGGCTGCCAGGATTATTATTAATAGTATAACATGCATAAATGATATATTTTAGCCAACATTTTGAATATCCAAACAGACAAATCTCATCTTGAAATGAATAGAAAGGTTACTACTATAAATGGTATATTACTATTATAATTATTTAGGATTGTATAATATATCTTTCTGTTGGAATTTGACCAATTTTTGCATTCAATAATGCTTTATATTTCAGACGGTAAAAATGCTTCGAACGCAACGTCCAGCCATGGTTCAAACTGAAGATCAATATCAATTCTGTTATCGAGCTGCGTTAGAATATCTCGGCTCTTTTGATCACTATTCTACAAATCCTTGATCAATTGAGATAAATCCAATTCTGGACTGCAGTTGAGATAAAAACCTGTCGAGCGCCAATTTGAACTGAGTATGAGAAATCACCATTTACAGAATTCTTGTTTGCTTACAATTTGGCGAACCCTTAAATATATGGCACTTTTTTAACAAACTCATTTTATTGTCTTCCATAGTATAGTACTACTTCAAACCAAAATTTGAAAGTGATGCTAAGGAACTTTCCTATAGACATCGTCCTTGGTAGAATGAATCTGGCCACTGTCATAATCTCATGGCTACTTTTATGTTTAACAGTATTTTTTGATATTTCTTTCAATGTTTTTACCCAGTAAAGCGGGTTATATTGAAATCAAGTGCTCTAGTGAAAACTATCAATAGTTGTATCCGTTTTGCTCAACTGTAAATGAAACACCTTTCATGTGTGATCCGGCTGATACCTATTATAACAGTTTTTAACTACTTACTTCTGACGATAACTTCATGTTATTCATGCCACCACTCTGTATTATTGGGAGGCTGATTTTCAGTCACCACTATTTAGGTTTTAATACTATTTGTGAATGTTTTTCTTACTTCCATTTTTGATTCTATTTTACCTTATTAATATCAATTTTACGCTTTTTATTGCTGTCTAGCATGTAAATACAATTTGTCCTTTATATAGTTTGCGGTGACTAAACGCATTATTGCGTCATAATATGTTCAGTGTTGATCATTTAGTTTTGATTTCATTCGACAAATCTTCTAAATGCTTCGTAGGTTGTAACATCCAATCATTTGCTGACCATTTTGCCTTGATTGTAAATGATTGACTTAAATTTGGATTATAGGGATTTGTTGGAGAGCCTTTGAGATTTTATTAACTATCAATTTTATGTGTTTTCAAAGTTGTGTGGATAATAAGTTAATTAAATGAGCTCAATTCCACAGTTTCCCACTATAATTTCCCTGTTTTTATCAAAAATTAGTAGTGTTTTTACAATTCCTATCTATATGTAATGCTTATTCCAGGCTGCCTAGTTTTTATCAAGTAAGCAATGCTTTTATATCGCTATTGAGTTGCTTCTAATTAGGCATTGTAAACTTGCCATTTTTACAAAAAATATCAAAATAAAATAACTATTATATGAGATGTTGTACCTCTACCAAAAGGCTTGAACATTTTTGACCAGCAGGCAATCCTAGCCTTGCTTACTAACTGTTGTTGAATTTTAAAAATTTTCTTTATTTTTTAATCTGTCGCCACGTTATTGCTTATTCTGTTATGTACTGAATGTAAATTTTATCTTCCAATTGTAATTTTTTTATTCAATTCCTCATGAGAAACACAGCGCTTCATACAACTATAAATCAAACATGATTTGCTCAATATGAGCAAATTACATTTTCTTTTTCATGGCTGAACTAGTTTGGATAAAAATAATTAGCGTTGGTACTTCTATACTTTGAAAAATCTTTATTTCTGTATTTATTTTTACAGCCTTATCTGTATATTGTCCCTATTATTATTGCTCAATAATTTTCTAAACATGTAACAAATGCTTCCCAAGATAAGAAATATCGCATCTGTCTTGATAGTGATATATGATAGTCTTACATTTTTATTAAAATACAGGATTCAAAAATGATCAAACCCTCTATTGCGTGACTGAATCTGTCAATTCTGTTTCGTATATAGAGTTGGGACTTCAATTCTACTGTTTTCTTAAATCTCCACTGAGCACAAAGGATGAAGTGGCATTTTTCATGTTTAATCAAATCTTCATGCTTCATTAATATTTTTATGTTGTTGAAAATTGGATAATAAAATCAAGTATTGTAACTTGTTTCTGATATTTCTCCATATGACTCTGAAGCTCTGATCCAATGAGACCAGCTTTGGATTAGGAAGTTCCTGGTGTTTAAATTTCAGATAAAACTAGTTGGATATGTTTATTACAAATTTTTCCTCACTACACAGCCCTAGTTTTAATAATCCATTAAATGATTATTCCCACATGGTATACATCAGGGTGGTCGGCCTCGCGGGCCACACTATAATTTTTGTATTGTTTGCAGGCCACAATAGTGCTAAGAATAGGTAAACAGTGCCATACAAAACAAACACTTTTATTGCCCAAACACATTGGTCATTATTTGTCATTTATCAAGCTAAAACATGCAAAAAACGCCAAAAAAACTCATTTAAACTTGCAAAAGTTTTACTATATCTACATTAGGTGTAAGTCTTCAAAATCTTCACAACGGAGGAAGTGCCATACAAAGAAAATGCAGTTTTTGTTATCATATTAAGCAAGCATTGTGATATTTTCCCTCGCGTATCTAGTCAAAAACATGTTTGAATTGGTCAGCTTTTATTTCAAACTCTTGTTTGCAAAATAATTTACAAATAACTGCAGATTTTCTGACATATAGGCAGCATTTTTTGTATTACGGTTCAGGCTGGTTGCAAAAAAAACACCCAACAGGAATTATATTGGTCGGCCATTACATTAATATTTAGTTATCAGGCATAGTCAACCTAGGCTGCTAATAGATTCCTCATATGATTTTTAGTCTTCTATGAAGCCGATTTTGTTAGCATATATTCCCGACCAAAAATATAGAAACCAGGTAACAATTTAGACTAGCCAACCACTTTATTCAATTTCGCTAGTTGCCTCAGCTAGCCATAACACCAGTCAATTCAATGACATTAGTAATGTATCAATATGTCAGAAGATTTTTCTGGTTATTTTTATGACGAAGCAACACCAAATTTAATTTTTTGTTTACCCTTGCGCAAATGCGACGCGGGCCACAAAAAATGAAGCGGCGGGCCGGGACCACCCTGGTATAAATTAATGCAATTTAAAACGTTCCTATGCACGGCCTCATTCGTAAAAAAGGTAGATCGCATAATTGTGTAACAGAGTACATCAGCTTCTCTATATAATGTACCCAACATTTGAAACATATCTGTTTCGTAATGAATAAATATCTGTATGCCATCTAAACTCATTCATCTGAAATGATTATTCCCACATGGTACCAATATCGGTGACAAAACATGGGCTGGAATATGATCATGCCATTTACTAATTTTCATCTTCCTGTGGATGATATGGAAATCATACCCTATTCACACATTATCACCCCTTTATGTGTCTTTGTATTTGGAATCTTTAAATTAAAAAATTTATAATATTCTACACGAATATAATGATTTAACACAGTGTGAATTACATAAGTGAAGAAATTGGATCTAATCTGAAATATGCATTATTTTCAAGAATCACTGCATAAATATATAAAAACGTAAGCTGAATCAATTCTTGAAAAGTATATATTCAGTGAATAGTAGGTCTTGCAGGATCCCGATAGACATAGAGTAGTAGAATAAAAAGGTCTAATGACTTGCGTCGAACTCTTGTTATAACATCTTTTTTGTTGATAATTTTCCAGAGCAGATGAGCAGATTTTACTCTGTCAATATCAAAACAATCAAGAGCTAAGTTATGAACATGAACCACGTCTTCGTTATCACCAAGCATAAAAAATATGTCACGAGGAGATGGTTGAATCTTTTGACGTTTTCTCAATTTAATCTCATTTCTTGTGAAAGAGTATGCATGAGATCTCAATTTTCTGATGTGTTTTTTCGGAAACGAACATTTTCTCGCTATCATACATGTTTCTATCATAACAAGTAACAGGTTTATTGACTTTGCGTAAACGTCCGAACCACGTCTTGTTGATCTGACGATTTTCCACAAAAGCGAGGACGACATTCGTAAATCAAGAAGAGCAAACATTTCAACAGCAAAATTGTAGTCACCAAAAGTAGATCCTTCAGAGAGGAATAGTTCTTTGAAAATAGGGCGGTGTCTAGAAACAAGTTTCATTATTGGTCCAGCTTGTCCGCTATACATTTCCATGGGATTAGAACTGGTATGAGCGCTCCAAACTTTTCCGAAAAAGCAACCATATAAAAACGGCTGCAAACCTATGTGACTTTTGACACTTGCTGGTGCACCAGAATATTTCCTAAATACTTCTTTTATATCAGCGTAGTGAGCGCTTTCAAAAAATGCCATTAGGGCTGTAGTATAAAACTTGTTGTATGCATCACCACGTAATTTGCATCTTTCAATCACTGCATCTATTACACATCTCATTTCTTTGTAAGAAAATGTTGCAAAAATGTCTTGAGTTTGTAGAATTGTGGCAAGTATGTGAAATCTATTTCTTGAGAGAGGACATTGTAAATTTGCAATATAGTCAATACAATATTGATGATTGTGAATGTTCGAAAGAAGATGAGACTCCTCTCTTTCCTGCCTTCGAAATATTGTCTGAGAGGTTTCAGTCTTTTTTTCAAATACATCTCTCGCTGTACTCGCCATGATGTTAGAAGATGCAATGGTACTAGTCGTGAATGAAAACTTCTTTTGAATGAGGATAATACAATTTAGCAGATGCTCAAAAACTGGTTTGCGGATGAGGCAACCATCTTTTTCGAGGTCTTCAACGATTTCATCAAGATACTTCTGTGCATTGAATCTTTCAGAAAAACTTGACAAGGATTCGATATCGTGAAAATTGGCTTCTGCCTTTGCTACATTAAGTGCATGTATCACTTCAATATCTCTTTCTACGTTAATGCATTCATCAATGTAATTTAAAACATCATTTCTAGGCAATATACACAATCTCATTCTGACATCATGAATAAAAAGCCAAGGTAGATTACGAAATTGTGTAACCTTAGGTACATCAGCTTCTTTATATAATGTATACAGCATTTGAAACATGTTGATCTCTTCGACATATCGTTTTTGAAATGAATAAATGTAACATAATGTCTGTAGCGAGAGATAAGCCCATGTTATAGAATGGCAATCAAGCAATGTGAAGTTTTTACATAGCCATTCAGATTTCATATAACAATCTTTCTCTTTTTTGGGATCGGCCAATCCAAGAAAGAAGTATGCCTCTTGTACTCTGGTAAAGAAGAAACCAAGTTTCCATCGAATACTATGAGCATTTTTTGGTTTGTTTTGCAACCATTCTTTAATATAAGAATGAATTACATTTACTCCTCTATTGACGATTTCTTCATACTTCCCAAATGACATAAAAGTCGTCAGCTGTTCTGCCGATGCCAAATCGTTTTCACTTATTAGTTTATCAAAATCAAGCTTTTCAATTTTACCTGTGTTTTTCTTCCAATTGAAATCAACTGTAAATTTCAAACACTTGATAATTGAATGACAGTCAAGCGCACTTTTTTCACCAATTAATTTGGCAAATTCTTCCGTCATCAAGGAGTGTCTTTGATTTTTCCCGGTCGCATAGATTTTCATTCGAGCCTCAATCGCTACACAAGCTGCATACAATAGTTTGTGCTCCCACTTGGTGTTTATTATTTTTTTCTTTTTCATTTCTCTGATAATATCGAACGTTGAATTAGCCTCAATGTTACACATCCTTGCAACATAGCCCAAGAGGGCAGTGATCGGCCTATACGCAGTAGATTTGATGTCATAATCTTCCCTACTACTTAAAGTTTGTGGCGATCCTTTTATCATACTGTTACGATTTTCTGATATCTTTTTCATTTGTTCATTTATCACATCATTCATTGTTTCAGAGCAAAGAATTGCTTCTGATTTTTTCAAGTAATCATCATGCAACTCACGATTACCATAAACAAAACAAGTTCTGCTCAAAACGTCTTTCAAGTAATAGCCATGTTTTAATTCCTCTGAATACGTCAAAAACTTTGCCATTAACCCCACCGGTTGGATTAATTCAAGCAAAGGCCTCTTATTTATTGTAATTTCCTGTCTTCCAAGTGGATTATTACAAGAATGAGGAACCATTCCATCAAATGCTATACCACATGGAGTGTATTTATCATAAAACCAGTTTTTTGATTTGTCATCTGAATACAAATCATTGATGCTTTTTACACCAACACTTCTTATGAACGTTTCACCCAAACCAACAATAATGATCTGAAATATCACGGCATACCAACGAAAATATTCTTGTATAGATGAATAGTTTGGTGAATTGTTAATGTTATCTTGCAGAACTATAACATGTTCAAAATCAGATACCAAAGTTATTTCGCATCTTGCTAAAGAACCTAGTCCAGTTAGAGCATACTTACATGGAGCAGTGCCTAACAATGACTCACAAAAAAATGCAATTTTTTGCATAAGACGCAAATAAATGTTTGTGCTTTCTTCACAAATATTTTCAACCTGTTGTATTTTCTCTTCTTCCATTTGTGCCAAGATTTCTCCAGTGTATTCATCTTCAATTCTTGTTATAAGTGCCATTTTATTTTCCATCTCGGAACGATACTTTGCCAAAAGTACACTTATTTCATCTGAAAAGTCAAAGATGTTTCTGAAGTTAATCTCATGTACTCCAGCTGCAGATAGAAGTTCTTTGTTAAGTTCATTTAAATCGGACTTCATTTCAAAAATTTTCTCATTATTTTTGAGTTTTACAAATCGTACTTTTGCTCCACATAGCAAAGCACTTGCCTTTATAAAATTTAGCTTCTGAAGCATTGCTGTTGAGTTCAAAACTTTCTTAATATATAAGTGACCCATTTCAAGCAAAACTTGAGCAGATCGTAGCAAGGTTTCGTCTTTTTCTTCACCGAAAGCATTACACAGCTTTTTTAATCTTGAAGCCAAAGCTGTTTCGGCATTTTCAAGAGACTTCTCTTTCTCAAGGTTAATGGTTTGACCCTGAAAAGGATCAATATTACACTTTTCGTAAATATCATTGTCTTCATCTGCAGAAATTTCTACAGATTTCGTC